TTTCTTTTTAAAAAGTAAATCTAAGTTGAAAAAGCCTAGAACTTCTTGGAAATGGTTTGTTTTGTGAGTTATTTTGTATATTTAAGCTTTCTATAAATATTTAAAACCGAAAATCGATAACTGTATTTTTATTAAGTTTGTATTTTATACTTAAATATTTAAAATTTAGCGAGCGCATTACTTTTATGACAGGTTTTACATCACTTTTCACAATGTATTTAAAGTCGCACGTCAATTTGCGCTTTCCAACCGATTAAACATTGCGCGAAAAAGTCAGAAATATTATATCTAATTTCGCCATGTTGCAATTTTGATAGTTTATATTTTGTAAGCCATTAAACATGAAGTCTATTAGTATTAAGAGAATTGCGTTCTATGTTTGTAACGCTTTAGTATTTTGGTTTTAAAATAGCATTACTAAGAAAACTATCATAGACTATAAATTATCTGAAAACTATCTACAAGACTAAATAAAAACTGTACATTCTACAAATGGTCTTGTAACATTCTAGAAGGGTTACTTCAGAAAAAAGATAAGAATGACTCTTAACACTACCTACAGATTGTTTCTCAAAGCACTCTTGTGATCTACTAATAAAGTTGTGCCCACTTTTACTTTAAATTATCTAGAAACCTTCTTTGAGATATCTTGAGGGAATTTGAACTCTTAAAATATTCAATCGAATTAAATTCTATTAGATGTCTTATAGTATATATTTAGATATGGGTGTGCTGCTTGGGCTCAATCAATTATTAATAATGATAGTTACAAAAAGTGTTTAAAATCTATACAGACACTAAATAATATGATATTTCAATTATTAAATTCGACATCTCTTCGATTTATTGAATATATCATTTATCAATTAATGTCGGCTAGACGAGATCCGGGTGTAGCGTATTTCATAGCATATGCACACACAAATTTTAAATAGTTATGTAGTTGTTTTCGATAGTTTTATCGATAGTTTATGAAAGACAAAATTTTGCCAAAAATGATTGAATTGTGAATGTTAGGAATGGACGTTCCAATGATTACCAATCGCATTATTGAAAATATCTGTATGATGAGATGAATCGTTCATGTGTGTGGTAAATATCTAATAATCCCCTTGAAATCTTAGAACTAGAATGATAGTGTGTGTTAGTTCTATGAATATGGCAGGCTGTAGCAGAATATCAGAGGCGTTGTGAAACATTCCGCCATTGTGCTGAGCTACAGACCTTTTTATCTCTTTACTAAACTATTATTTGTTACTAAATACTGCGTAGAACTTTATATTTTTATTTTTACTTATTAATGTGTGGAGATAAATAAACGATTTTATTATTATTATTGCTTTTCTTTATTCTAATTTTGATAGTTTTTTGGCCTATAGTATCGAAATCAATTTTTACTTATATGCATTTTGACAAGAATAGCCGGGTTTGATGATCTATAATGAATTAAAATGAAATCTTTAAAATATTGTCTCGTCTTTGTATTTTTTACAAATGTAGTTCTAAATACAGTGTATGTATGTATGAACCTACAAAAATTGACAGTCCAAATGAACTTGTGCTCAGTAATTGGATGAATAGTGGGTCGAGGATGATTCAAATGAAATAAGTTCGACTATTTATTCCATAAGTGTGACCAATATTCAGTCGATAGTCGATAGAATATTTATCGACTGCAATCACTAGCTGCTTGTAACCGGGCAACACTTTTACGCAATGAACTGTCATTTTACTCTGTCTTCAAAAAAGACGGACTACTCGACTCGAAAAAAACTCGACCCCACTGTCGGGGTACAGGGCTTGTTCATTATAGAGTTAAAGCGACGAGACCAGAAATACAGACGAAATAAGGGACATCCATCCGTGGCAATTATCAGGTAAATAGCCTTAAATCACTTATAAATATCAACTCTCGTTTGCGCTGAAATCACAAATTAGAAAACTGAAATAGTATATCACCAATAACTGACCTGTGTGTACGTCTCCGTATATTCCAAAATTATTCTGTATATAATGTAATAAAGATAATATCTCTAACAATGGGGACTGTTTCATTCGGTGGTGTCAGAAAAACAACATTTCAGAAAAGTACCAAACTGCTGATCTCTTTAACAAAAGTTAAACAAATAACGGGTAAATTCAAACCATCCTCATGGGTAATAAACGATAAGGATGATAACCCGATACATGAAGTCTCCAAGGTCGCCGAGAGATGGAAGGAATACTGTGAGGAGTTATATCAGGATCAATCACCCCATCTTGCCAGACCTACTGAAGTCGTAGTAGATTCGGAACCAAGTATACTACGCTCTGAAGTTGAAGACGCAATCCGAGAGCTTAAAAGGAATATAGCGCCGTGGCCGGACCAAATTACAGCAGAGACATTAAAAGGTTTGGGCCCAAAAGGAATAGCAAGCTTACACAAAATTTGTAATGCTATATGGCAAACAAAAACAAAAATCTCATTGGGTTCATTCCTCTATTATAATACTACTATAACTGTAATAACTACAGAACAAAAGCGCTTACATCACATGCTAGCAAAATCTTACTGCACATCTTGAACTCGAGGTTGCAATCCTTTCTGGATTGGGAGATACCGCAGGAGCAGGCGGGTTTTGTCAAAGGAAGAGGTACCAGAGAGCAAATATTGAACCTTCGGCTTATAGTACAAAAGTGCTACGAGTGTAACTCCCCTACTTTCGTATGTTTTGTGGACTACCAAAAGGCTTTCGACTGTGTCAAGTGCGAGAAACTCTGGAATGTTCTCATTGAATCAGGAGTTCCCACTCACCTTGTGACGATGGTTCGCAAACTTTATGAATTCAATCTCGGTACAGTGACAATAGGAAACGTAACATCGGACCGTTTCAATTTCCAGAAGGGCGTTCGACAGGGGTGCGTGATCTCTCCTATTTTGCTCAACATTTATGGCGAGTACATAATGCGCCAAACGCTCGAAGATTTGAAGGTGGCATCAAGATAAATGGGGTCAAAGTGACTAACCTCCGATACGCAAATGACACCACCCTTTTTGCATCATCGGAAGTTGAAATGGCGGAGCTGATGGATCGGTTGGAAACAAATAGTCGAGAAATGGGTCTTGCTTTAAATAAATCTAAGACTAAGCTCATGGTGATAGACCGTTTCGCGACTATTCAACGCACTAGCCTCCTGCAGGAATACGAGACCGTGGACCAGTTTCAATACCTAGGCTCTTTGATAACCAGTGAGGGCAGTTGTGAACCTGATATACGAATACGAATTGGGATGGCAACAGCAATGACTCAACTGAGCAAGATATGGCGAGACAGGAATATCAGAAACCGTACTAAAATACGTCTAATTCGCACTCTTGTCTTGTCCATCTCTCTATATGGTGCAGAGACATGGACACTGAAAGCCGCCGACAGGCAAAGAATTGACGCCTTTTAAATGTGGTGCTGGTGCAGAATGTAAAGGATACCGTGGACAGCCCGCCTCACCAATGTCTCTGTACTTGAGCAACTCCAGATAAAGAATGCACAGCGTCTATCTTTAACTTGCATACAGCATGAGATACGCTATTTTGGTCACGTGACACGTAGAGATGCTAATAACCTGGAACGTCTGATGGTGACAGAGAAGGTGGAGGGAAATCGATCTAGGGGCAGACTGGAGATACCTGTCAGCGCCGCACTACATCATGCGACTGAGCGCAACCGATAGAGGCAAATGGTTGGCAGGATGAAGTGGAGTCACGATCCTAAGCAGTGAGGAAGCGATTAAGAGGAATGCATTTCGATAAAGAATAAATATACCAACGACTGTATGCTTTATGATTCGTAATATATTGTGGCTTTTACTTGGTGCGGTATATTTGTAGTCCATTGTTATGCCATGAACATCGCACGAGAGAGATACTTTCGTACATGCATTCTGTTTCGTGGTATTCAAATCAAATCAAATCAAATCAAATGCATTGATTCGTCAACATAGGATACAGTACATTGAAATACATGGTATTAAATAAGTTATAGCGATCCTCTATGTTGCACCTTCAGGCATACGAACTACATAAGTGGATGATGAACATAGTTATTTTACTTAATTATTATTTATTTACTTAATTATTACTCAATTTTATTTAATGTCAAATTACTTAATTATTTCCGAAATATTGGTTTATAGAGTAAAACGTTTCATTAACAAGATATTCAAATAGATTTCTTTTAAATGTTACAATGTCCTTAATGTTCCTTATGTCAGATGGTAATTTATTATAAATCTTGGCACTCATTGCAATAATACTATTACATAGGAAGGCAGATCTGCCTCCTACGCTGTCAAGTTTATTATTCCTACGGGCACTCTTAACACAATTAAAGAAGTTTGGATTGCGTCTGATGAAAACTGCGGTATTAAATACATAAAGAGACATTAGCGTTAGTAATTTATGTTTCTTAAAATAAGGTCTGCAGCTATCTGTTCGGTTTAGACCACACATTGCTCTAATACACTTCTTTTGTGCTAGGAACACTCTCTTCACATTTATAGCATTACCCCAGAAAATTATTCCGTAGCGCAATTTTGAAGCTATGAAACCGTGATATGCTGTTAGCGGCTAGCTTTCTTCCTTAACATAAATAACGCGTATGAGAACTGATTCACCTTCTTACTATTGGAATTTCTACGTATAATTTTTGGACACATTTTGCGTTAAGTGATGTTCACTCTACGTAAGACAATTCACGATTCTGACAGATGAATGAAACAAAGGTATGATAATTATTATGACCATGGAATCTTCACTACGTGGACGCTAGTAATACATCTTTTTTGCACGTAAGATCAAAAAGCGATAACGCGTTACGTCGTCAGTCATTTGTCTCTGACACTTTTTTAGCGCGATTGTGAATCTCTAGTATGTTGGGTTAATCATAATGAGTCATTATTTTAGATGTTTCACTCGCCAAATAGCTTACAAAATGCATATTTTTGAAGGTGGAGGTGATACCAAACGACTTGGGCAATCGACTCACGCCGTCGTTCGTGGCCTTTACGGATACCGAACGACTCGTCGGAGACCCCGCCAAAGTCCAGGCAGAACTCAACCCGGAAAACACTGTTTTCGGTATATTGATTGCATTCATTATTATTCTATTATTATTTCTATCTACTTCGTAGCAAGAAAGGTTCTTGTGAAAGAGTTCGTCCAGGGAAGTACTGCCACTAGGGCCACCGCTCTCGTCGCCTCGAGACATAAGACGTAACTATGCCTCGAGGTGGCGAGAGCGGTGGCCCTAGTTTGGCATACAAACGCAAGTTCTAGATTTGTCAGTTCGAAGGTTTTTACTTTGTGTTCGATCTTTGTGTTAATAACTAATTACAAACTGGTGGAGTATTTCACAATAAGTAAATGAATATTATGACAGTAAATCATCATGATATTCAGTAAACTCCGTAATAAAAGTTGAATTGAATTCCAAATGCCCGTTTGTTGCAGATGTGAAGCGATTGATTGGGCGCCGCTTTGACGATTCCAAGGTGCAGGAAGATATAAAGCTGTGGCCATTCACAGTCGTCAATGAGGATGGCAAACCTAAGGTCCAAGTTCAATTCAAGGGCAAATGCAACAGTTTCTTCCCTGAAGAAATAAGCGCCATGGTCCTGTCGAAACTGAAAAGCTCGGCTGAGGATTATCTAGGATTGAAAGTGCACAATGCCGTGGTGACCGTGCCAGCATATTTCAACGATTCTCAGCGCCAGGCTACCATAGACGCTGGCATTATCGCAGGGCTTAACGTGGTGCGAATCATCAACGAACCGACCGCCGGTGCGCTCGCTTACGGTCTCGACAACACAGAAGAAGAGCGAAATGTGCTAGTTTTCGATTTGGGAGGTGGAACTTTCGATGTCTCTGTGCTAATCATAGGAGACGGCATGATTGAAGTCTGCGCCTCGACTGGACACACGCATCTTGGCGGTGAAGACTTCGACTCGCGTCTGTTGGAGCACTTCGCCACCGAGTTCACCAGAAAGCACGGGCTTGATATGTCCGGGAACAGCAAGGCCTTACGAAGACTGAGAACGGCGTGTGAGCGAGCCAAACGGATGCTTTCGTCAGCGGCGCAGACCAGCGTAGAATTGGTCGCACTGCACGGCGGCAAGGACCTACAAGCGGTCATCACTCGCAAGCGCTTCGAGGAGCTTAATCAGGACCTGTTCCAAATGATTCAAGACATCCTGCAACACGTGCTGTTAGAAGCTGAGATTGATAAAGAGGACATAGCAGAAGTGGTGCTACTTGGAGGATCGACTCGAATCCCGTATATTCAGCAGATGGTGCGGGCGTTCTTCGGAAAAGAACCGAACAAGACGATTAATCCGGACGAGGCCGTCGCTCACGGTGCAGCCATTCAAGCCGCTATAATGGACGGCAATACTTCTGGGACAATCTCTAACCTGGTTCTCGTCGATGTGGTCCCTTTTTCTCTCGGCATCAAAGTGTTTGGAGATATTATGAATGTAATTATTAAACGAAACACGGCCATCCCCACTAAACACACCGAGAAGTATCGTACCGCCGTTGATAACCAAACCAATATCCCGATCATGGTATATGAAGGAGAGAGAATGATGACAGCTGATAATAATCTACTCGGCCAGTTTATGATGTCAGGGGTTCCACGAATGCCGGCAGGCAGAGCTAAAGTGGACGTAACATTTGCGATAAACGCCGATGGGATCCTTCACGTTTCGGCAGTGCAACCCATCACACAAAAAAAGAATCAGATAACGATTACTAGCAAGAAAGGACGGCTGTCGCAAGAGGAGATCTCACAGTTAGTGCGGAAGGCTGAAGCCATGAAGCAGGATGATAAGGTTAGACGACAGGAGGCCGTGGCGAGGAACGAGCTGGAAAGCACCTGTCGGCGCGGTTTACGCGCAAGACAGGCTAACGTCAGGGATAAGAGCCAGACGCTGCTGGCGTGGCTAGCTGATGCCGGAGCCAATGCGCAGATTGAAGATATCTTAGCTAAACAACTGGAGTTGGAACTACTCCTGGCTAACTTGAATATATAAATTGCGAAAGGATGACCATTGCACATGTCGTATATGTAAGTGAACTTGAAGTAGACTCACTTCTAACCCTGTAAAAGTTACTATAGTAATAAACCTTCTTACTTTTACCACCACGTCACGGGAAGTCGTGGTGGTGTGAAACTTCTACTCACTGAAGACATCGGGGTATGCGTGGTATACGATCCACGGCCACGTTTGTGCTTGTCCACCACTGCCGACCCATCTCAGGAGGGGACTTCACCATCTCTCACCACCGTTAGTGCTATGCCGGGAATACTTGACACGCCAACCAACCCGTGAACCCTTATCCAGTGAGTGACAAAAGCTCTTCTGTATGCCATTGTCGTCTGTAAATTCTGGATAAACAAAATGAAACTGCGAGGGATATGGTTTCGTGTATAGAGTAGAATACAATGGAAAATCATTTAATCGACGAAGGCAAAAATACATAAAAGAAAAGGTAAAAACATTAAAATAGAAATCAAAATAAATCGTGTCGTGTTGAGTCAGGGGGTCTGTAGTTTCGTTCTTCGTCCGTCATCCGTCCGAAACAATTACTCATCCTCGATTAAATTAAAACACAATGTCAAGTATGAAGCTTCATTCGCATCATGCGTCTTTTAATTTGGTCGAGTATTAGTTATTTGACAGTTGTTCCGAACAGATGTCCGACGGAGAACGAGAGTACAGCGCCAGAGACAAAAGAGAAGAAAAGAGAACGATTTAGATTATGGATCGCCCTGAAACATAGACGGAGCGCCCTCTGGGCGTTCCTAATATGAACTCAATATGGATTATGTAGCGTCATCTAGCGAAAACCACACCTACTATGTAAGCACTATTGACCTACCTTGTACCGCGCTGTTAGGTAGCGACTGTCGCCAGATGTCGCTAACAACACCATCGTCAGATTAGCTCTGGGTCACCATACATTTTATATTTTTTAGAATTTTATTAAAATATTAACGGAATTTGGGTGAAATTCAGTAAACCAGATTCATCCCCCATTTTGCCACTCTTAAGGTGGGCACTGACTTAAGCTACGGGGCGTAATGTACCATTCTAACACACCGCGTACTAAAATTCGTGTAAGACGCTCGTTTCGAACTCTTGACTCGCCTGTGCTCCAGATTCTTTGCCACTCGTAGTCAAGATGTCGGACGACGAAGTTGTGTTGGGATCTTTGATTTTACGTCTAATTGAGAACTTAGTCGTTTTTTGAAGTCGGTTAAAATGTTCCGCGTCGCTTTTTTGATAATAGCGTAGAAATCGTCGACATCGTTAGTGCGTGAAGACATAATCATCTTCATGCAGCCGAGACCTCGACTGCTTGAAGTTGATAACGAGGTCACGCATCAACTGCATGCAGTCGTAACTCAAGTGCTTGCGTTTGAGACCTCAATTTCAAGCGTCGATGTGAACTATACCCCGAGAATCAAAAGTAGTAATTGACATTCTTACAGTGAGTGCAAACGATTGCGTGCGAGTGCTTGCGAGTGTGTGCAAATGCTTCCGAATGCTTGCGAGTGTAAGCGCGTGAATCCGTAGTCACGTGCAACGGCGAGCGCGTGCGCATATCCTCGTAAGAATGTCAATTACCACTTCTGATTCTCGGACTATCCTTCACATCGACGCTTGAAGTTGAAATCTCATCTGCATACAGCGTGAAGCCGTTATCAATTTCATGCAGTCGAGGTCTCGGCTGCATGATGTTGATTACGACTTTACGTATCAACTGCAAATATGCAGTCAATCTGTTAGCAGCCTTGTTAGTAATGAGAATCAAGATTGCGAGGTGGTTATTGCGTGGAGATGCCTCTTTTTTAAGCGGACAGGGGGAAGCGTGGCGTGTCTGGCTAATATGGACGGACCGCGTGCGAATTTAGGTATTTCCTTCATATTATAAAAACAAACACACACTTTGAAAATGTACGGAGTACCTGTGTGTTCTAGAAAAGATTTGTTATTAGTTTTTTATTATTCATTACGAGGTTTGTTATTATTCAAAAACTGATGACCTTCTTTTGTTTTTTAGAGATAACTTCGGATTTTTTTCTTTCGTGGAAACTCAAGTAATCGTGTTTCTAAAGAGACTGATTTATGGAGTCAATTCTTAAATATCTTCTACATTAATTCCATAACTAAAGCTTTAGTAATAATGATACAGCAAGGGATCGCTGCCTCGGCGCAGTCTTAACCACCGCCGACCAATTGCTACTCGATTTCTGCACAAATAGAAGCCATTGTTTACACATTCCTTGAAATATATCGTTTTAGCATTTTTTTACCAGTGGTGACAGGTCATTCCAGCACTTACTCGGAAACTGCCCCTGTATATCTTGAAATGCTTCGCAGGCTACGGGAGGCCGAGTGTGACTATACACGGGCATGGGGAGAGTTGGGTATTATCGCGCGACTGATAATTTCGCACTTCTGTATATCTCAATAACTACACGCTACTTAGAGTTTACAGTGCCCCAGTATCACAGCCTGACACGCATGCATGTTACCATGTCATTTTGAGAGCTCAGTCGAAGACGATACGTTCTGTAAGTTTTTACATTTATTCAATATAATTTTACGAGTTGTTGTTTTAGCATATTTGAAATGCTAAAATATTGTAGAATTGATACGCGAATCATTTCGGAAATATAGTTTGCATTTTTATATTATTTTGCGGTTTAAAAGCAAAGTGACTGTGTTTGACAATTCCGCGTTAAGAGCACGGTATTATGAGGTTTGGGCACGGAATTATAAAGTATGAAACGTTTATTTGGCAAACATGTGGAATGGAAGAGGGAGTAGAAAATAAGAAATGAAGCTAAAGAATGAGAAGGAAACACACACGTAAACAGTGAGAAGGAAAAGTTTGTGGAAAACGCGTACGTTCAAAAATGTCGAATTGTTAAATATAAGCAAAAATTTTAAAGGGAAAAAGAAAGCTACCAAATATCGAAAGAATCTGTCGACGACGGTAGTGAAGAATTTTTAAGACTGAAAACGTAAACACCGCTTCCATTCAAAGAGCTAAAAAGTCTGCCAGTTCTTTAAGAAAATAAATACAAGGAAGAAAAATGTTATTCATGTATCTATTTGTTTAACTTTACTTATTCCTACACACGAGTATAATAATAAGCCAACTTAGAGCGCGTTCCCACTATGTCGTAACGACAGATTGTCGTGCAGTTTACAGTGTCGTGGCTTGTATATTTAAATGAAGTTGTTCACATATACCACGACACGATGAACTGTCGTTCACGATTTTTTACCGTTACAACGACACACCGTCGTCACAGTGGGAACAGCTAGAACGACAGTCTTCAGACGATTAAAAAAGTCACGATAAAAACGTGAAGACAGATGATTGTCGCAGCTCCTATTGTCGTCACGTTTTATTTATCGCTGTTCGCACGTATTCTGCTCCCTGCCATCCCCTCTCGTACCCCGCGCGCTCTGCCCGCTTTGCAGTAGCGTTGGGTCGTAACCAGAGATGGGCAAGGAGGCTGTCGTGAAACGATAAATTGTCGTCACGATCTAGTGGGAACAGCTAGTTACGATAGTCGTTCAACGATAAAAAATCGTCCACGACAGATAGTCGTGTTATGGGAACAGGCTAGACACGACAGCCGTCCAACGATAACAAAACGTGACGACATAATGGGAACTCGCCCTTACAAATTTGTTTATAAATTTATATCATATAAATTTATTGGGGCACGGTTTTATTAGACCTGAGCACGATATTATCAGACCAGTTTGATAATACCGCGTTATCCCAGTATTTAGTAATTTTGCAATAACTGCCTTTTGTATTTGTTCACGAAGATTTGCTATACTATGTGTGTACATAATTAAACTACCTACTTACGGCTATAAATTTTGTTTTTGTAACCCAAGCCTGAGCTTAATTATTGGCCATATTGCTTAATTTAATTTTAGAGGGATATATCCACTTTAAAGTTAAAAATAAAGTATTGTATGAGTAACTACACGATATATTCAAGCATAGACATTAATCAGAAACATAAAACAATAAAGTTTCCTAGATAGATAAAAATCACGAAATGACTTCTAATTTTGTGATGTATACACCTGTAGTGACTTGGCGCCTTGTATAGTGAACCTGTGTGTATTTTTTTTAAATATTGTTTTGTGTTAAGTTGATGGTGTATCTTTAAATAAATAAATAAATAAATAAATTTTCACATTTTTTCGATTTATCCTCGAAATGCTACAGGTTATTAGGACAAAAATTAGGTAATTAATTATATTTATGCATGATCGACAACTGTCACTACGGATTTTTTTTAATCCCTTTAATTTTAGAGTTATTCCGCTAAAACGAATTTGGTACTTTTAATGCGCAAAATTCAACATCTCCTGTCGCATGTCACGCGAACTTCAGGCATATATTTGTTTCACAAATTTGGGCGGAGCCAACGTCAAAACTTTTTTGGCATGAGAGCTCTTAAGGGCTCGGTATAACCCAATTCTCCCCTATGCGGGGCGAGGGGAGGCAAAGATCTGAAGAGAGGCTAGGCGCTAGCACGATGTCGCGACGTATGCATACGGCTTGTCTTGCGCATTGCGTCCAATTCGTATTCGTCCCGAATTCGAGAAAATACAAATAACGCTTGTACACTTGGAGACAAAATGATCCCTGTGACATTTCTCGGAACCGTCATTTCTCGGCTTCGAAACTGATATGAAGCAGACGTAATGCGCAAAAGCTTTAAGTAAGTTATCAAAACGGCTCGTCTCTGCAGTGTACGTGATTAAAAACATAAGGAAACATTCAGACTGTTAGGCGGCCGTTCCGATTTGTCTTTTTAAAAAAAAGAACTAACTTCCCAACACCCGATTTATTGCAGAAAATTACACTCAATATATAACTAACTGACTTCCCGATTCCCGGAGCGATGTACCGCTCTTTACGAGTGCCAATGTCTAACTACTTGATTTGAGGCTTACGCAAAATATGAAAACTTGCACATTGCATTATGGAAAAGTACAGCTTTAATATAAATATCAACCTTTGCAAAATACCCATATTAGATTGGGTTATAACAGCTCCCCCTTTTTGACGAAGCTTTATCTCAATAAGATGAAGCGAAGTTGATAATGATTAAGAATATTCGAGAGAAATTAGAAATTAGGAAGTCAATTGTACAAAAATAGTAAAATATAACTAAAATAGAATTGAATGAAAACATATCAAACTTTAAAAATTAAGATTCCTATTACTAGTGCTTAGAAAACTAACATTATTATCTCTACAAGATTTATAATTGAAATGACGCGCAGGTAAAGATTTTATAGATTTCTTATCGTCTTCATTTTCTGATGTAGAAATATCAGACATTTCAATTGAGTTGGTTAATTTAGTTTGGCGTCTTTCATTTTTATTATTATAACATTGATTGAAAATCTGCACACAACATGTTGATTTTTTGTTTCTATTTTGAAAACAAAAGTATAATCTATAACAAAGATATATTATAATAAGAGATACAAAAGATAAGCTAAATCCAGAATAGTAAGGGGCATATTTTACAAAATGCGATTCCTGTTGAAACTTATTTATTTCATGTTCGAGACCATCTAATTGGTGAGATGCTTGTTTTAGAGAATCTAAGTCAATGTTACTAAGGGACAGCGGTGAGAGTAAAGGAATCGATTTGTTTAGTATCTCCCTTTTACAACAGTCGTCTTGAGTTATATCAAAATCTATAAATAAGGTCATTTTCATACGTGAAAGAGGACGTCGTTGACGGTATAAATTGAAAAGTTTTACAATATGCTATACAATTTTTTCTTAATTCTAATATGCCTGTGCCTACAATAGAATAATCTTTAATATCATTATTACATCTTACATTTAATTTAGTACTTTTAGATTGTACAAAAATCCATTTATTATTCCTAAGTTTTTGCCAGATATTAATATTACCATATAATAATTTCGAATCACATTCAATTGGTAAAGACAACACAACTTCAGTTAACAATCTTGTCTCACACGATGGATTAGTACTAGTCGAATACACATTCGTCAAGGGACATATAGAGTCATCATTAGTAAGTTTAGAGCATTCTTTTAAATTATCTAATAGTGCGTAGTGAAGTCTATCATCTGTGATAGCGAGATAGGATTTGGAAGGATGAATAAGAGCAAAAGTATTTGGAATCTCAGAGTTATGAGGAGTTGGTAGTGGGATAAGTTTGTATACAATATATTTAGTTGGTGAAATTAGAGGTATTTGAATTAAGAAAACTATTTTTTTATTATAATAATAAGAAGTTAATTTTGAAACATCTATCAATGTCATACATTATCGATACATAAACGATACATTATCGTTTCTAAATTTAATGGAACTGGAAAATCTAGTCTTTTATTTATTAAGTTGCTATGTTTTGTAAGTTCATTAAGTAAGTTGACGGGAGTGATAACAGCGGGATGAAGGACATTTGTTTTGGCGAATAATATAGCATTAAGTATATTCTCAAGAGAGTTAGATATAGATAGCAGAGAACCATGTAAAATATTTACTAAGTTACTAATTTTAGCAATATAAATTAATTCGTTATTGGTTTTTGTCGTCTGAACTAGAATTTCGTTCAATTTGTCTAATTGTGATTTCAATCTGAATTCGTTTTTATTTAATTTAGAGATAGTTGAATTGAATGAATTAATCGTTGATTTAACTACATGAATGTTATCCTTCATGAGGTTAAAAAGTTCAGTCTCGCTTGTCTGACAAGCGTTTATTGCAGCATCGTAATGCCGGGCATCCTCAGCATCCAGGGTGCCAAAGAAGAATTTTAGTATTTCACCACCGAACTCTAGAGATCTCTTAAATCGGTTCGGAGTGGTATCAGATGCTATAATATGAGATAAGGAATTCAATTTCATGAAATTTAATTGTAAGAGCACTTCAAGCGGGTTGAAGAGGTCCTTACAGTGAATAAATTCGTGTAAATCAGATTTAATGCAAATATCTAGAGTTTTCCGTATGGAAGAGTCTATGTTATTAAGATGAGGTTCTAAGGTAATAACGTCTACATGCGTAATTATCTTCCAAAAGTCATTATAAAAATGAATAGTAGTTACGGGATCATAGTAAATCCCTGGGCTGTGCGTGATAGTAGTAATAGAGGGGTCTGCCAGGCTCGGACGCCAAAGCACCCTGAAAAGAGATAAAAATAGTAGGTAGTTATAAGTGAGCGGGCTTGATCTCATTCGTGTGATATTTAACATGTTTTCGGTTAATTTGCAGAGTGACATTGTGTTTGCCATTTACTTTCATAATTTTATATGGACCTTTCCATATTGGCGAAAGAGCTTTTCTTAATCTGTGGTGATGTTTTACATACACCATGTCGCCTGTTTTGTATTTAATATCACGAGATTTGGAATCATAATAATGTTTGGATTGTTCTTTGGATTTAATTATATTTTGAATGGCCTTCTCCCTGCTAAAGCGCATCCTATATTGCAATGCACGAATATATTCATTATAAGTAGTGTTACTAGTCGTTTCATATAAAGAACTAGGAATGGAAGGCTTGTAACCATGGGGTCCCAACTCATACAAAATATTTTTAGTACAAAAAAATAATCATAGATGCCGCCATGGATAGCCTGTTGGATATTAAGTAAGCGAAATTGGCAATTTAAGCCGTAGTTACGTAATTACAAGTAAAAACTAAAATATTTCATGATAAAAATGAATATTTTCTCTCAATCAACACATTTTTTAAAAGAAAAATACACAACTAATAGACTTTAACACAGCTATTGTTTATCAAGTCAACGCCATCTATGGCCCATACGCGCCGTCAGCTCTATTGATTTAGCTAATGGATTGTCATTTAGCTAATGCATTGTCATTTTATTTTGACCTGGTCACGCTAGATGGCCCTGATATTAAAAAACATAACAAACTACCTTCGCGTTTTGTTCCTCTAATTTGAAACGTTTCTTCAGTTTATTTATTTCTTAATTTTGTTTTATTTATTTTTTATTTTAAAGTTGTTAAATTAAATATCTAACAATATGAATGGTTTTAGTACTTAAAAACGTTTTTGATTATTTAATGATTTATTATTTTAAAACGTTGATTTTTTTATTGAATTGAACAAAACGCGCAATCGGTTGTTTACTTGTTTGTTTGTTTTGGAAGCGAAATTTTGCGAATTGACACGGATATTTTAAATGCTATTAAGTAATTAAATACGACTAGTGCTTGAAATCTGGACTCCGACGAATCTCCCATACACTACGACTTTGCTTTGAAATCTGGACTCTGACGAATCTACCATACACGACGACTTGGCTACGGAAAACTTTACTGATCTCGGTTGCAACATCATCTGGGTTTCGTTGATTTTCGATTTAAACAAAACAAAATGTCACCGGTCAAATGTTCGTATTTTATGTGCAATTACACATTCAAACAAAGATCCATGTTTCGGTTCCCAATAAGCGATCCAGCCCGTTTAAAAGTTTGGATAAATAATTGCGGTAAGTCTTTCTATATCATGTACCAGCTAAATATGTAATTGAAAAGTGTTGAAAAGCAGGTTTCAATGTAGGTTTTCAGATTTATTTAATTTTATTATTTCATTATAATGAATTAATTTTTGTTTTAGGTAACATGACCATAATGAATTACAATGAAAATATACTCCGTAACAGATACCTCTGTAGTGAGCATTTCGACAAAAAATATATCCAAAATGAAAGTGGACAAAGAAAGAGGCTGTCGAAATTTGCAATACCTTTGCACTATAAAGATGATGAATGTAGCAGCAGGTCACATTCACCAGTTCCATCAATATCAAAAGGTAAACCTTTTGGTTTCAGTACCAACACTGTATTACTTGAGTGAACATGATGATGATGAATTACTTGAGAAAAAAAATTCATAAAAAAGTTATATGTATTCTTATACATAAATAATTTGTATTCTACTTCACTTGAAACTTCAATAATAAATGATGTTACATGGGATGGAAATCATTCCATCATCAGCGCATAACTTGATGATCATCATCGCATCAGCGCATAACTTGAATTTTAGCAAAGCCTTCTTCTGCTGTTACTATCAAAAGTAAAATGAACATATTAATTTGATAATGAACCATTTTTAATATATTGTTTTTTTTAATATAAATATGTAAGTGCGTATTTGACCTCTATCTCACCTGATGGCAAGTGCATGCACACCTAAATAATGCCTATTCACTCTCGCCTTGAAAAGGCACATGTTATAATGTTCAGGGTACAAGTTTCTGGGAAGGGTATTCCACTCCATAGCCATTCGCTATATAAATGTGGAATCGTAACGCTTTGTGTCAATCTTTGGAATATCCACAACATATGGGTGGAACCTAAGCCTATGTCTAGTCCCCCGTGATGGAAAGGGAAAAATTAAATTGTGCCATTCCATTGCACACTCTCCATGGTATCTGCTAAAGTTTTCATATTCATAAAATTTTAACTTATATTAAAATTTATACTTTATTTAGGCATTGTTATTATTCCGAGACTAGTAGGTTAAGTTAGTGAGTAAATGTGTTTGATTTATTTTTTTGTTTTAGTGCAAACTTCGTCACCTCTGAAAGTAATGACTCCTAAAAAGTTATATAGCAACAAAATGGTAAAAGAAAGGCTTCAACCCAAGTCACCTAGTGAAACCACAGTAGATTTTAGTACACCTAGAAGAAGAAAAAGGACTTCAGTTGATAATGATACACCAAGGTGTAAAAAATTAAAAATTAGTATAAAAAATTCAAGTAAATTATTAAAAAAACAAAAAAATAAATATAATAGGCTAAAAAAGAATTTACTGAAAAAAAATTGTGTCAACTTAAAAACACATAAATTTAAAGGAGATTTGGCGAAAGTGTTTACATGCATGCAATTTAAAAATAAAAGTAGACAATGGAATGAAGATGAAAAAAATTTTTGCTTATCTTTATATTATAAGTCTCCAGCTACATATAAATATCTTTTAAAAGGAGGCCTGGTCCTAGCTGCTCCCACTACAATCCAAAATTGGCTCTAAGCTACAGATTGTCTGGCAGGTATTAATGAAGATGTTTTTCGTAATATTCAAATGAAATTTGCTGATCAACCAATTAAAGAAAAAGCCTGTGCTGTATGTTTTGATGAAATGAGTATCAAGACTGATTTGGAATATACAAAAAAATATGATTTGATTGAAGGATTTGAAGATTTTGGTGGTGGTGAGCGTTCCTCCAAGGAAGCTAAGTATGCACTGGTGTTTGTTGCCAGAGGGATTTACATTAATTGGAAAATCCCTCTGGTATATTTCTTATCAAATCAGAATGTCATTGCTGAAAAGTTAATAATAATTATTAAATCCATAATTAATAAATTATTTGTGATTGGATTATTGCCAAAAGTAATTATATGTGATCAAGCAACAACCAACGTCAAGGCAATCAAATCCTTGGGGGCAACAAAAGATGATCCTTTTTTTTTATTGAGAATCGCAAAATATTTTCGATCTATGATGTTCCTCATTTGATTAAAAATATAAGAAACAATTTACTTGATAATAATTACGATTTAAATGGCAATGAAATTTCGTTTGATGACATAATCAAGGTTTATAATATTGATAAAAGTAATAAAAGTCGATCTTTGGGAAAATTGACCCCAGTACACTTGAAGCCAAACAGTTTCCAAAAAATGAAAGTTAAGTTAGCCACACAAGTATTTAGTCGATCAGTAGCGGCCGCGATGGAGACGGCGATAGCCAGTGGAGAGCTGAAGAGTGACACCGTAAAGAATACAGTTGATTTTGTGAGAAATGTGAATGATTTGTTTCAAATTTCTTATGACAAATCGATTAAATCAAGATGTAATTGAAAATTTGTTTGAAATTTATAGAATGCGAGGTGGTTGTAACAGGAATCCAACATCAAAAAATTTAAGGCCCATGTTCCGATCAAATTTACTAAATAATTTAATCAAATTAGATAATACAAATTGTGAAATTGATCAAAGTCACTTTTTAAACACAGCTGAAGCTCAACAGCAAAATACACAACCTGAAATGTCATCATCGTCGACATTGACACACCCAATTGCTGGTCCATCAAGTGCAGTCGCCTTGCCCGTTATTTCCTCCCCACCGGTTCAATCGTACACATCTCAAGGTAATCTAACCGTTATACCCCAAGAAATAACACTGGAAACTTGTTCTGTTGTGTATTTTGCTGGCTGACTAGGCAAAGTGACAATAGATAAATTTGATTGCTCAATGTGTAAAGGAATTTTGATTAATAATGAAGT